ATAGTTATTGTTGTTATTATCTTTTTTATTATTATTATTATTATTATCATTATTATTATTATTATTATTATTATTATTATTATTATTATTATTATTATTATATTATTATTATTATTATTATTATTATTATTATTATTATTATTATTATTATTATCACCATTATCATTATTATTATCATTATTAATATTACGATAATCATTATCATTATCATTGTCATTATATAATCATTATCCTCGTCATGATCTTATCATTATTATTATTATCATTATTATTATTATTATTATTATTATTATTATTATTATTATTATTATTATTATTATTATTATTATTATTACTACTATTATTATCATTATTATTAGTAATTATCATTATTATTATTGTTCTTCTTATTATTATTATTATTACTCTTATTATTATTGTTATTATTGTTATTATTATTATTGTTATCATTATCATTGTTCTTGTTGTTGTTGTTGTTATCATCATTATCATTACTATAAGTATTAATATTATTATTACTATTATCATTATTATTATTATAAATATTATCTTTATTATTATAATTATTATCATTATCATCATTATCATTATTATTGTTGCTATTACTTATATGTATACATACTACTATATTTATCACATTTATTACCATCTTCATTACATTTGTAGGGCATTTGGATAAGGAAGAAGAATCATCACAAATATTATACAAAAGTCACAAAGAATGTATTTGATGAACAGGATAAGGTTTTCATAAATCTGTTTGGCTGCGGTTGTGTGTATAAAAGTGTGTGTGCGTTTGTGTTTGCTTCAGATATTTGTTTCAAACGCTTGGTTTCAATACTTGTTTTACACGTTTGCTTCAATGGCTTGCTTAGACTATTGCAGCATATTCTTGCTTCAAATACTTGCTTCAAAACGCTTGCTGCAAATTCTTGTTTCAAATGCTTGGCTTAAATACTTGCTTCAGATGCTTGTTTCAAACATTTGCCTCAACTGCTTACTTTAATTGCTTGCTCCAAATGCTTGCTTCAAATGCTACTCAAAGCATTGCGAAGTAAACCCGGGTCAAAAGCGCACCTGTAGATATTAAGTAAAGTTATTAATAGGTGAATATCATCAGTAGGTGAGTATTATAAACTAAATAGATGAGACAGGACTATTATGCATTAAATATGTATTAAAAGATGAGTATCATGAATTAAATATATGTATTAAGTATTACGTCTTAAAAGGTATTTTGAATAAAATAGAGGAGTAACATGTATTAAATAGGTGAATATTTTGTATTATGAGTACTAAACTATCATGTTATCTTTATGCAATTCAGATCAGCATTCACTCAATCATGATATCAGATCGAAGAATGGTATAACGAAAGTAATTCCAATTTTGATTTATATGACTTGCCAATTGCAGAAACACAATAGCCCAAATAATAAACCAATCTACATCAAATAAAGATAATGAACTGGTAGAGTTTCATGAATATTGTACATTAGATTACAGTCATGTCATTACCATATGACCATAACCATAAGAAAACCATATGACGATATAACTATAACACCACTCGCCTCAAACTCGGGACTCGCTAAGACGCTGTAGGATTCATGTTGAACAAATTGCAAGTAGAACAGCGAAGGAAAGAACATGTTCGTGTGTTTTCTTGTTCTCCCCCCCCCCATCCCCCCCCCTTTGCCCTTCTACTTCTGCTTCTACTTCTACGCTTTTTAGAGGGGCGTGTGGTTGTATGTTTCCAGGGGATGGGTGTGTGTGGGGGGGGGGGGTGTTACCTTACCCTCCTGGCACACTTATGAGTCTTGTCATCTTGACGTGATGCAGGTTCATATCAAGTAACTTGCAGAAAAGCCTCCTTTCATCTGAAAAAAAATAATAACCTCACCGGTATTTTAGTTCATGAAAACAATGATGCAGTGATAGTGTTTTTGTACAGCAGCAAGGGTGTAATTAGTGACATATAAGATGTTGCAGGGTAGTGCCAGGTATGATCATAAGGTTTGCAACACAGACTAATAACATGTTAGCAGTTTTAATGGTAGTTACTTCCCCCTTATAGTAAAAGAGGACTGGCCGTGTAAAAAAAAAAATATATATATATATATATATATATATATATATATATATATATATATCAGAGATTCGTAAATTAGGATGAGATTACACTAATTATAAGAAAACAATGATACATAACGGTCTGTAAGTCTGAAATCACTGGTATGATATTATATAGTAAGAGAAAAAACACTAATAAATAGAATAATGAAGTAAATATAATGCTCTAAACTCAATGATATACGTTAAAACTACCTTAACTTATGTCCATACTTAAAATTTACTTACTTTCCTCGGCCACTTTGTTCATCGGTCTGCAGGGCAGAAACTTTCTTGCTTCACTGAAAGAAAAAAAAGAAAAATAATATGCATAGATATATATATATGTGTATGTGTGTGTGTGTGTGTGTGTGTGTGTGTGTGTGTGTGTGTGTGTGTGTGTGTGTGTGTGTGTGTGTGTGTGTGTGTGTGTAACTACCACTTTTGGCTAGAATAATTGCCCCTTCTTTTAATACTCCTTAAATGTTAGTCAAAATGAGAGAGAGAGAGAGAGAGAGAGAGAGAGAGAGAGAGAGAGAGAGAGGAGAGAGAGAGAGAGAGAGAGAGAGAGAGAGAGAGAGAGAGAGAGACGGAGGGAAAGAGGAAGAGAGGGAGGGATAGAGGGACAGAGATAGAGAGAGAAAATAGTTGGCAGTTGTTTACGCAGTAAAAGCACCCTCTGCAAATGACGGCCCAATTATGGTAACTCTCAAGTGCTAACCTTCCGGACGTAATCCTAAAAATTCCCTGCTTTAAGACAGATACCTCAGACCCTCCCTTTCCCATGCCAGAATTCGTAACAAAAAAAAATTAACATACCAAAATATATGTATCATCTTTCCTTGTCAATAAAACTAAGATTAGATTACACATAAAATTATAATGCAGTGTCTTCTCGGCACAATAAAGCTTTAGCGGAAATACGTTAAAATATATATATATATAGATATGCGTGAACAAGTGATTGCATTAGACGCTCAGACCCCCCCCCCCTCCCCCCAGCGCAGCCCACGTCAAGTTTCATATGCAGTTCGATAGAACACAAGGTATATTTGCCAGATGACTATCTTATTTCCCGATAATATTGCTTGAATATGCTTGGATAAACTTGGAAATATATATATATATATATATATATATATATATATATATATATGTATATATACATATATATATACACATATATATATATTCAAATCAATACATAAAAGTAGATATGATATTTAGTACTGATTTTTTTTTATTCAGCCGTTATATGAGTGTATGCGCGAGCACGCACACACACACACACACACACACACACACACACACACACACACACACACACACACACACACACACACATACACACAAACACACATACACACACATACACACACACACACATACACACACACACACACACATACACACACACACACACACAAACACACACACACACACACACACACACACACACACACACACACACACATACACACAAACACACATACACACACATACACACACATACACACAAACACACATACACACACAAACACACACACACACACACACACACACACACACACACACACACATATATATATTAGCGAAATTAGGAATTAGGAGGAACTTTATTAAGTGGGATTCCACCAGTCTGCGGGCGCGGACATCCGTGGAAGGAAAGACAATTCGCGCCGCTGACCAGTCCATCTGATGGCCTGTATCCCACTGACGGCAGAAGAGAGCGTTGTTGCTGTGTCCTCTGGATATAGCGTACTTATGTTGAGACAAGCGCTTTGTGAGACTGGCGCCCGTCTCGCCAAAGTATTGCTGGTCACAGGAGGTACAAGGAACAGCACAAGTGCCCACCTTATATATATATATATATATATATAGATAGATAGATAGATAGATAGATACATAGATAGATAGATAACAATAAATATAATAATATCTATAAATAATAGATATATATATATAAATAAATACATATATATATATATATATATATATATATATATATATATATATATATACATAAATAAACAAATATATATATATATATATATATATATATATATATATATATATAAAATAAATATATATATGTGTGTGTGTGTGTGTGTGTGTGTGTGTGTGTGTGTGTGTGTGTGTGTGTGTGTGTGTGTGTGTGTGTGTGTGTGTGCGTGTGTGCGTGTGTGTGTGTTTAGCTACACACATTTGACGCGATGTTTTATATCTTGGAAGTTATTGATTCTAAAGCAGTATAAATAGCTTTAATCACCTTCTGGACCTCAAATATCCCTATCTAGACACTTAGAACATTAAAATCGGATAAGTAATAACAATTTCAGAAGTATGAAGTGTTTATTCAAGACTACAAATAGAAATGTTAAATTTGGGTTAGCAACAAGGATTTTGCCACATTATTATCCAAAATAACGATAATTTTTTTAGAACATGCAATTTCTAATTACATTTTAAGTTAGATTCATAAGATCTTGTTTTGAATTGACACAAGTTGTCGTGAAAATTCTCTATTTCTGATGTGCCCATCACGTTTTTCATGTGTATAAACTTTCATTGAAGCTTCTGTAACTTGCCTCACTTTCCTTTCAATTGACTGCCCATGGCATGGCCAATCTGGAACCATCATTGGAACCTCAAGATATTCCTCCTTTGACTTATCTGATGTCAAATGGCATGTCAAAACAGGCTCATGAGGTTCTGACCAATCAATAAGTTCATTAAGATTATCTGCTGCTACATTAATAAGAGGTGTCTTTCGTACTCAAACTGAATTGTCACCAACTTGAGTTTTTTTCATCTCCAGGGCCTCTGATAGCTAAAATATGGTCCACTCCCAGTTGTCTTTCTTTGGGGTTCTCTGAATAGAGCATAGTTTGAATTATTGCTTCTGAAAATGCAAACCATGCTGAACGCTGAGCTGTGGGCATCACAATATCTACAACCTTCTTGTTTTGAAGTCTCTGTGAACTTATGAGCAACCTTAATTTTAAACCACATTGGCATGTAAACACCAACTATGAACTCAACAATGTGTTGAAGATTCTTTAGTGACTCTCCAGTTAGGCAATGATTTGATACCCAAATTCTACATAATCTTAGTGCTGTTGTGAGCCATCTAGAATGACTGACTGGGCCGATACCCAGGAAGGTCATGTCTTTTGGAACTTTACCTTGTCTGATGGTAGTTACAATATTGTAAGCATAGTATTGATCTCCAGACAAATCTTAAATGATATCATCTTGGAGTTCAATAAAAGGTTCTCCAATATCTATCTTCTTGAAAGCTGAATTTATTTCCAAAGATGTTGCATTATCTAACAAACTGCCAATTGGCCCACTCCATTTGTTGTTGCTTGTAGTTTTGCCATCAAAGTAGTAAGTAAGCATGTTTCTCTGCGAACATGTCCCCTATGTTCACTTGGACATGGGACCAACTTTGACTTTGACTTTGCTGTAATGAGAGCTCTAAGAGGCAATTCATTAGTGTGAAGAGCACAAACTAACCAGGTTAACTTTCTCCCAAGCTTGACTTCAACAAACTGCATAGCACCTCCAGCCCAACCTGTATTGACAATAGCCATCAAAGTTTCATCCATTTCATTTCCCTTCAGAAAATAATGATACAATGAAAGTCTTCCTTCATTGTACAATGTTGTCTGCAATGATTTCAGCATGTTTCTTTTCTTTGGTTGCCTCTTCAGGAGTGTAATGGCAAAGGTATTTGCCACCTGGCTCACTACACACTGTCTTCTTTAATTGTAGCTGAATACATTCTCTTAGAACCTGCATGTCTCAGAAGAGTTTTAGTCAAATCTTTTCTCCCATCAAAAAAGATACAGTTTATCCTTTCACTTACTAAACACTGTTTAGATCTTTGACTTAGCTTCTTCATGACTTGTTCTTTGGCTCTTCTAAATTTATGATCAATAACCACACTTGAGTCATTTTGAGTAATAAGGCCTCCTTCAATCCAGGCTGCAGTTGCAATAGCTGCAGTCTCCCTTAGTCCTGTTCCATATCTTATACTTGCTAGGGCAATGTTGGAAATATCAGCATAGTTGCGTTTGTTAGACGGGATCTTTTTGTTTATTTCTGTTTCAACAATAGGTGGTTCAGCTATCACTGACTCTTCCACAGCACTGGAGTCCTCATCATGCACAAAATCATCTTCTAGCTCTTCAGGGTCTTCAGGTGAAAGTTGAGTTCAGGCTCTAGTTTTTTTTAGCTTTGGGTAGGTCTCTATTTTTTTCTTTCTTCACTTCTGATCTGGCTTTCAGCCTCTGATTCATAAAGTATTTAAGCTCATTGTTTGGAATCTTTTGCTCTTTAGGACAAATGCACTTAAAATGAACTTCAATCACACATTCAGAGGAGCAACCATTGTCTTTACAGCTTAGCATTACACACTTACAGCTTAATAAATCAAATAACTTATCAAGTTTAGCCTCAAGTTAGTGTTTTTTTCTTAGAACTTGCCTTTCCTCTTGATACCATCCCAACAAGGTCCCAGTAGTCTTTCAAGGTAGATACAATGGTATTTTCATGCAGTGTTACTGGTTACTTGAATTTAACATTTGTAGTAGTCTATAATTTCACAACATTTGTATGAATGTCTTTCACTAAATTAGCAACAGGGTAATTTCTTTTTATCTAAAGCACTTGTTTCTTGGAGATAGAGTCCAAATCTAAGTGCATCTCTCAAAGTTGGTAATTCTGAAACGTGTAGAGCCTTTGCTGGACCCAGGCACTCACTTATCTTAGATCCACTCTGACCTCTAGTTCTGACTCCTGCCATGGCTTGTGATGGAATGAAAGTGTTAGTAAATATGTTGCATGATTAATATTAAATCAATGTTACTCCCAGTATTAAATGATATACTGGGAGTATGTGGAAAAAGGGTGAGCCAGTATAATGGGTTCAAGATTAATACGATAAATATTAAAGCCTGGTGAAATACGGGAGATGTGAAAATAGGATGAGTCAGTATAATGGATTGAAGGAAAGCAACAATTTAGCATGGTGAAATCGATGCCTAAGTGATAGAATAATAATACAACTAACAGCATACAGGGGCCTTCAAAACTCCATGTGTTACTTGCTAGTACAAGATATCAAATGTACATTTGATTAAAAGGAGATATCAATATAATTTGATATTTCCTTTTAATCTCCTATATATACATTGTACATATGTAATTGCTAGTTCTAAAATTTATTTTCTTATCCAATTTTAGTGTTTCAAGTGTTTCAAGGGGTATTTGAGGTCCGGAAAATGATTGAAACTATTTCCAAAGCTATAGAATCACTAACTCCAAATATATAAAACATCGCGTCAAACATGTATACTAATATTGTGCAGTGTTAAAAAAGTA